AGAGTCCTTGATGGAAAGAAGCGATCAAAAGTGAGATTGACTCCATCTTACAGAACCACATCAAAAGGTGACAAATAGAAATGTTGTTCCACCTGACAACCTTAGCCTCGCGAGATTCTTAAAGAAAGATCTTGAGAGATCAAGTATGATTAAAGGAAATCATAAGATTGCATTAAAAATTTCTCTGATTTGATCAGAGGCAATTGGTTTGGTATCCTTGTGATTGCTATGTGACTTTGCTTGAAAGCAAAGATGAGACAACCTGTTATAGTGTGAATATTTTTTTTGGATTTTTAAATTCCAAATATATTCTTAAATTGGTGGCTCCTAGTGAGTACAAGATCACTGATCACAGAGATAGAAAACTGGTGATTCTTAGGAGGTGTTAGACCACTGGCTACACAGTTATGAGATTGTGTAGTAGTGAACAGATTACTGATCACATGTCAAGACATCATGGTTCCTAGTAGTGGAGAGGCTACTTATCATATGTCAAGACATGCTGATTCCGAGTAATGAAAGAGTCTATTGATCCTATGTTAGGACGTTGTGATTCCTAGTAGTAAAGTGACTATTGATCATAGGTTAAGACATTGTGATGCCTAGTAGTAGAAAGTCTACTGACCACATGCTGAGAAATTAGTGATTCCTAGTGATAAAACTACTGGCCAGGTTATGAAGTTCCGAATAGTAGACTATTGATCACTGGATTTGTGTTTCCTAATAGTAAGACTATTGACTTCAGAGTGATAGGTTGGACCAAATATATTTGGGTGCCTAATTCGGTTGATGACATTCTGGGAATGTATTTACTGTGATATGATTTTGAGAGTTTCATAATCATCGTGACACAAGGATTTGTTTAAGACTTTGTATAAATTCTACAAAGAAGACTTAATTATCCGACTCCGAATTGAGGAGGATAATAGAAAGAAATGAGGGAGTACCTCTTCAGTGAATGCTAATGTCATTGAGCATGGAAAATTTTCTGGAATGAGGGAGAAGCCCTCCTTGAACGAAGTCCTGTATG